ATTAATTCAGCCTGTCCAAACTTCTGCCCACTTACTTACACTTATAACTTCTTATTTATTCAAGACATGAAGGAACCTGTGTATATTTCATACATTTTATTCCCTGGGTACCGTCTGTGACATGATAGCTGTGTCTGACATTATAGTAGATCAGGTACTTTATTCCAGGTTCCTCATGTGTGTCTAGCCTTAATGTCTTAGTATTGTCCATCCCTGGTATTTTCACTGTCTTCAGGGGCATCATCTGTCTCCAGCATCCACAAACCTGCTTACCTTTGCATTGCACATCCACATTTTCTATCTGTTGTTTTTTCTGTACCCTTCTATCTTCTTTGTCACTAATGGCGATGCGGTTTTCTCCATTTGCTGCTGGAGGGTATTGAATTAATGATCTATAAACATAATGAAACGGTGAAAGTTTGGCTGAAGTTAACATGATTCATTTTTGAGCAAACTAGCCCAGAAGTATCACTTGGCTATGTGCTTCTTTTTTTCTTTTGTTTGTGTGATACAATCAGACAAGTTCAAGTGACAAAGTACATATATCTGCTGGCTGAGGAAGTAGTGCCTCAGTGTGAAAAACAGTACTGCCCACCTTTATTGTTAAACAGCAGCATCTTCCCTTCAGGAGAAAAATAGAGATACAAATAACATTGCTACAGACTAATGCTGCACTTCCTTCAGAGCCCTGTGGGTCCGAGAGTCCCTTGGTGGTTTTTAAAAAATGTTCTTATTCAAAGCAGATCTCGTTATCAAGAAAAATATCCCTGTTTTAGAATTACCCACCATGCACCTTCGGTAGTCTCCCTCATTTCCAATGGGAAAACTCTTTTTACCCACAAGAAAAAGAAAATTTACAAGGCCATAGGAAAAACAAAGGCAGAAAAATTTTTAATTTCTTGAAAAATTTTAGATAATGTACCTGTCGAGTTATATTTATCCCACTGCCCTTTGGTGGCATTTTCCAGTGGCATCAGATAAGATCAAAAATTGCTTCTATAGTCACCAGCAGAGATAAGAAACTGAGGACATTATTAATTTAAAAACAGAGTAATCTATTGAACACAAACACTCCCTGATTAAAATATTGGAATTTCTCCCCCCTTCTCAAGCCTATTTATTGCTTTAAATGAATCCACATTCTTTATCTATTCCCCTCTCCTCCAAAAAGCCATCTGCTATTTCCTTTATGAAAAAATAAAACCTACAATTAGTGTCTTGTTCATCTTTTCTTTCTAAAAAAAAACAAAAAGCAATGGAAAAGGAGAGAGAGAACAATTATGCAAATTCTCTGCAATTGAGTTTCAAATACTCTTTGTAGTGTGATGAGCAATTTTCCTTAATACAAACCCAGCTTTTTGCCAAGACTTACTAATAGATTTTTTTTAAAGAGAACTTTCAATTTTCACATGAAAAGTCATCTAATGTAAACTTTTCAAATGTACACAGAGAATGGCATTAACATTATTCTTTGAATTATAGAAGAAAAAACAGGCATTTTATATATTTCATCCTTTGGAAAATAATAACCTCACAGTGTTTCTTCTACCTTAGGCATCAGTAATCTTTCCACCTTAGGAAATGCCTATAATGTGAGCTGCACTAAGTCAGAGAAAGCTGTTCTCTCGTTCTCTTTGTCCTTCCCTGAAGCATATTGTCAGGGATGTAGTTTACCTATGAGCACCAATCTATTGTTTGATTCTATTTGGTCCTCAGTAACTAATGTGTAATTTGGCTCAATTCATTCCATTACGGCTAATGTGAGGTGTTTGAAGCTGTCTTGCTAACAAGATAAATATCTACAGTGTAAAGTCCTGATGAAACTTTAGGGGAAAATTTACAATATTTTTGCATCCTCTGAAACAAAACTGCACTAGTAATCAGAAAGTATGTTGTAAAACTGATCCTGCTGCTGACAGGGCCAGTCCCTTGGAAGAATAAAGCATTGAGACTCAGTTTCCTGTTTGTTTAGCTAAGGAAGTCTATTTCTTTTAACTAATCACATGGTCAAAATTAGGATCAAACAATGGTTGCAACTGTTGCTTTTGTAATGATTATAAAGACTCACTTTGATTTAAATGTGCCGGGAGAATCTCAAAGGTTCCTGCTTTCTACATTTCCTTCATATATCTGCTGGCTACATTTTCATACCTACAAGTCACACTTCTAGACTGAATTTCCTACCTAGGGGTCTGGGAACACTGTACAAAACCTAGTAATACTAACACATAGGAAAAAACAGGATCCATCAAGAGAGCAGTATAAATGTAACTTAGCCATCCAGCATTTCATATCAATTAAATATCTAATTTAATGTATAATTAATTATTATATTTAATCTGAGTAGATATTTTTGCTCAGATTTTGGTATGTTGTATATTTGAGACATGTATACATGTATGTAATCTGGTGAAAAACCTTCAGGTTTATATTATGAATAAAACCGGTTGATACTACATAAATTAATATAATAATCTTAAATTCAGCTGACCTTCATATTTGTAAAATATTTATAACTGCATGGCTTTATTTCAAATATTTGCTGAGCTACACAGTAAGTGGCACCAAATTGTTTCAACCTTGTAGATCCACACAGGGCCACGTGAATTTTTCTGTGGCTCACCAGGTTCCTGCAGGCAAAAGGGAAGGGTTAGTTGAAGGGCTTACTCCTTTTGGAAGACAGAAGTAAAACAGTGACTTCATCTGCTGCCACAAAATGTATAACACTAAGCAATTGTTTGGGACAGGATGATCTATGTTCCATCACTGCCTCTGCTTTTGTAGAATGTTTTTCTGTCTGTTGTCCTGATAGTCACATCCACAGTCCTTTCTGATACGCCACCACAAAGGGTAGAGCAATATCTGTAACTTCAGTGCTCCTAAGTGAGCCTTGAAACAGTTCCACAGAAATCAACTTCTCCCTCCATGAGTGTCTGTTTGTGGCTGCTACCTAGGCATTCGCTGGTGGGTGACATCACTTGTTTCTTTGTTTCCTTCTGAGAAATTTGGTCTGACGTACTTGTTCTGTCATGCCGTCATAAATAAAAACACAGCACAACTTTACACTTTAACTTTGGGGTTTGAAGTTTTTTAGAGACAAGGAAAATATTGAAGAAAAATATCATAAACATTCTGTAATTTTGAATCCAAACAACTAGTGACAATTGGTCACGTGTCACATATATGTCTCCTTCATGTGTGTATGTGTATGTATTACACGCATACACAGATACATGCATATATTCTCCCCCCTCTTTCTCTACCCCTATAAAACATTGTAAAGAGTGATCAAGGAATATTCTTGTACATTACAGTATACTAAAGCTGTTCTGAAATATTTAAGGTGAGCATAATATTATGCAATACATAGCCTATATTTTAAACACTTGGTTATCTCAATAATATTCTATGTAGTGCATTTTTTCTAATGTAAGAATGACACAAAGCACAAAGAGTGCCTTCAAATAATTAATGTGAAAGAACTGTCATAAAAAATTAACCAAAGACCTAGCTAGCCTTAATCTATTTCTGTAATAAATTTTAGCTTGACCATCTCACCAATTTGTCATATCTCTCATGACATTGATGTATTTATTTATTTGTTTGTTTGTTTGAGAAAGGATTTCCCTGTGTAGCCCTGGCTATCCTGAAACTTGAGTTGTAGACCAGGCTGGCCTCAAAATCAGCGATCCACCTGTCTCTGCCTCCTGAATGTTGAAGCATGCACCACCACACCTGACATGATATTGAAGTTTTTAATTATTTCAGGCATGTTTTGTTTCACTGTGTCCTAAAATGTGGATAGTATTAGATCTTAATTTGTTGGATTCTTTATTATTAAATATTACTGGCATGTATATTCTTTTGATGATATTATGTGGCTTTGTATAACCACATAAATCTTTTTTTTAAAAAATGTCCATTATAATTTTCACAGAAGTAGAATACTGTTTTATTTACTTTGCTCCATAAAGTCACATATCAAACATTAAAGCAAAATAATAGTCTGTATAGTGATATGTTTCATATTGTAGTGTAGATATTTATAATAACTTTAAATTAGAGGCTAATTATAGGATGTACTATGTAATACAATAAGGCTATATTCACACCTCCTTTAATTAAATATCAATATATAATAAACATGGACTTGGTTCTCATTCCATCAAATGAAGAAATTGATCCAGATAAAATTTTGTTGTTTCACTTAGCTCTCAAACTCTATAGGTTTATGAGTGGGACATCTCTTTAATTTTTTTAAAAATGAAATACATTTGAGTAAACATAAAAATAATGGAGCAAAAAGTCTTTTAAAATCCCCATTCTTCTCTATTAATCAGCATTGGACATATTGATTGTAATTATTTATTTACAGTTTTAGAATTTATATATGTCATTTACATATGCTAATTCTACATGAATAATGGGTAAGTTGTTAGGGTCACCTAATTGTTCTTGGGAAGAATGACATTTGTATGGTTATTATTTTCTAGAGATAATATTAAAAATTAAAAGTATCTGGTGTAGTGTTCATTTTTAACATAATTGGCAGAAAATAAAATATTGTTCATGCTATAAAAAATAAAGTGTAGGTTCTGATTTATTAGATAGGTATTCTATAGTGGCATTCACCTTGTGGTATAGACCATTTATTGCTTAATTTTATTTAATTATATCAGTCTAAGCATGAAATAATTTAATATATATGTTTACATTGTTAACTGAGTCTACTGAGTACTTTCTTTGAGGCTGGGTCTCACTGTATAGCCCTAGCTGGCCTGGAACTCAGTGTGTATAATAGGCTGACCTTAAACTTGCAGAGATTCACCCATCTCTGCTTTCTGAGTGCTAGAATGAAAGGCATAAGCACTCTATCTGGCTCATTGAGTCCATTTTAAAATCCATTATACACCTTTCATCCACTGTAAGTGTTTAAAATACTGAGGAATACTGAGTTGAAATGATCGAATTATGTTTTGTTGTTGTTGTTGTTGCTACAGGAAGCTCTGATCATGGCAAGCATGGATCACCCACACCTAGTTCGCTTACTGGGTGTGTGTCTGAGCCCCACCATCCAGCTGGTTACCCAGCTGATGCCCCATGGCTGCCTGCTGGACTATGTCCATGAACACAAGGATAACATAGGATCACAGCTGCTGTTGAACTGGTGTGTCCAGATTGCTAAGGTCAGTGCTGTCACTTGCTGTGAAAATGATATTTGGGAGTTATCTCCTGATCTAGGAGAATCTGACAATTGAAATTATGCTGTGCCTTTTAACCTCTTAATATAAATAAATTCTATTGCTATGTTAAATGACATATTACTGTAAGTACTTCAACGTAGATTGTGGAATGAGCACATAATCTACTTATATATATTCTTGTGGATTATTTTTCCAACATACTCAGATAGACTAGATGCCAAAACACATGGCACACTAGTCAGGGCAGTAATTGCTCTTCTAGACTTGTTTGACTTTTTTAAAACTGTAGTCAAGTTAGCAAACAAAATCAAGAAAATAGAGATTCAATGTCATGATTGTTCTGTCTTATTTTGGTTTTATAAACACAGTCTATAGAACTTGGCATTTTAAATGATAGGTTTAGTGGTAAGCACCTCCATAAAATGAGACGTCTCACCTGCCACTTCACAGCTTTAAACTTTGTTGCTGCTGTCGCTGTATCTGGGAAGCCCACTATTGAGTATAGGCCAAGATTTTTCATAATCCTGAGACCGTCCTCAGAGCTGCTAGGGCTTCTGCTACATTATTGTGGTTTTTTTTTCCCCCCTGGGGCTCTATGAGTTTGTAATTTTATCAGCAGACATTTCCCTGCTCTTTCATGTTAGGTTATAAACCATTGGCGTTAGTGGAAGGGTGATTGTCAACGAGTATCTGTCAGTGGAGGGGCTGGAGAGACAGCTCAAGAGTTAAGAGCCCTGGCTGCTCTTTTAAGGACCTGGGTTCCATTCTCAACATTCACATGGCTGCTGGTGCTTGTAACTCGAGTCCTAGGAGATCTGATGCCCTCTTCTGGCCTGTGTAAGCACTGCATGCATATAGTGAACAAACATACATGCAGGCAAAATACTTGGACACATAAAAATTGATTAAATTTTAAAAAGAAATGAGCCACCACTCCTCACGATTGTGTGTGTGTGTGTGTGTGTGTGTGTGTGTGTGTGTGTGTGTGTGTGTGTGTGTGCATATATATTGCCAGTTGTCCCTGGTATCTGTCAGTCACTTTTGCATAGATGCAACCAAAATACTTGTGAAAACAGGAAAGGCATATTTTGATCAGCAATTTCAGAGATTATGCAGTCCTTGGCTCCACTGATTCTGTACCAGTTATAAATCAGAGCGTGAGTGGTGGTAGAAACATATGTTAAAGGAGGCTGTTCGCCTCATGATGGACAGAAAGCAGAGAGCTAGAAAGGCACTGGGGACCAGGTAGAACCTTTAAAAAATTGCACTGAATGATCTACTTCCTCTGGATAGACCCTACCTCCTTAGGTTTCAACAACTTTCAACATAGTACCACCAGCTGAACACCAAGTATTCAGCACACAAGCCTGTAAGGGGCATTTCATAGTCAAACAAAATTAGCATCTTTCAAGGTGATCCTTAGATTGTAAATTCTTCAGAAAAGCAATAGTAATAAAAGACATTTGATTCCTTTAATAATTAAAATTAACTCATGATATGTTTAACTGTTGTAGGTATGGTTTCCATTGCTGTGTAAAACACCATGACTAACAGCAATTTTGGGAAGAAAGGGTTTATGTCACAACACAGCTTATTCATCCTTCACTGAGGGATGCAAAGGCCGGAACCTAGAGGCAGGCAACTGGAGCAGAGGACATGGATGAGTCTACTTTTTTAGTTGCTCCTCCTGGATTGTTCACTTTGTTTTCTTATACAACCCAGGACCACCTATCCATGGGTGACATCACCCGCAGTGGTCTTTGCACCCCCCTCCCCAATCAACCATCAATCAAGAAAATATCACACAGGCTATTCCACCAGCCAGTCTGGTAAGGACATTTTCTCAGTTGAGGTTCCCTCTTCCCAAATGACTCTAGTCAAGTGTTAAATTGACATAAAACGAGCCAAAATGTAACCCAGGTGCTTTAGATTCTGCTTTTGATGGCAGATAATTTCAATAATATTTTTTCTGATAATTGATTCCAGCAGGTATGTCTTCTGGGAAAACTTGCATGCGTAAGAAGTCTGCATGATTTTTAGACGAGTTTAGTAATTACACAATTGATTTTTGTTGTACTCACCATTCTTTGTTTATCTCATTACTTTTTATGTCCATATCATGTTCCTAATTAAAGCTAATGGAATCTGATTTTCTATGTTCCATAAAGACTGGCAGTTGAGCTTTTCTTTGTTTTTGTTTGTGGAGTGAGAGGGAAAACAGGAAGAAGATATACCTCTCTTGATTTAAAAAAATGATTGGAGCCTGGCAGTGGTGGTACATACCTTTAATTCCAGCACACGGGAAGCAGAGGCAGAGGCAGGCAGAACTCTGTGAGTTTGAGGCCAGCCTGGTCTACAGAATGAGTTCCAGGAAAGTCTCCAAAGCTACACAGAGAAACACTGTCTCAAAAAAACAAAAACAAAAAAACAACAAAAAAAATCAAAAAAAGCAATAAATAAATAAATAAATAAATAAATAAATGGAAGGAAAGTAGAGTTCTGGGTGAAAGAATCCATTCCTTCTCTGTACATAGGTGTTGTTTTCCTAAGGATTAAATGTATAAAGTAGCAAAGACTTTATTTATTTTAATTCTTTACTCTTTTCCATTTTGCTCCAACACTAACTACATAGAGTGACAAGAGAATGTAACTTCTAATTGATCCAACAATTTGCTTTTATATGAATGAAAATGAACTTCAAGTCTGGAGGTCTGAGACCAGTTAAATGCACACACTGGTGTTTGACATTTCTGAGATCTTTCTATTTAAGACCAGATACTATGTGCATATAAGACCACATTCATTGTATATAAACTACCAAATCAGAAAATTGTGCCTTGCTGATCCACTTAATATATTAAATGACAACTAAGGTTATTTAGAAGTTTATGAATGTCAGTTGAATTTGAGTGAGTTTTTTCATTGTGTTGTGACAGAGAAACTTATATTTCATAAAGGCAGAATAAAAGACAAAAAGTTAAATCACAATTCATATTATTGGTGTTACAACTAAGCTCTGTATCATGACAGTGAAAATCCACTATTAAAAGTTGAAATGAAAATTTATTTTATTGTCATTTGTGCATAAGAAGAATGACAGCTTATTATTTATTATTTTACTGACATTATTTAAATTAGAATACATATATTCAAGTGAAGTGTCAAATCTTTTAAGAAAATCAAAAGTATGATTGTCATTCAGCAGGAGAACTTGGGTCAGGATGCGTACCTCCAGGGATGCTTCAGAATCATTACAAACTAGACTGATGGTGAAAACTGATTTTCAAAATATGCATTCCTTCAATTATGTCACAGATACTCACTGCTCAATATGTTTTTACACCGCAGTGATTTTTGGTCTCTGTATATTTCTCAGATTCATATCGCTTAATTAGAGATTTGTGAGTTGACTCTTTGGTGGGTAATTATCTGCAGTGTTTGCCTAGTCAGGAGCGATTCATGATTTTATTAATTAAAAACCACACATTAAGTATATTTTTCAGGGTTTCCCCTAAAAACAGAACTAATAGGTTAGATATTGATACTGAAAGTTTTAGAAATAATCTATTTGTGATATTATGGAATGATGAGAAGCCTGGAAATGCAGGAGAGCCAATTCTACAGCTTTAGTCCCAGTTCAAACATCTGAGACCCATTGTGGACATGCATTCTGACCCAAACCCTGCAAGATCAAAATCACAGGAAAGTCAAAGTTTTGAGTTAAATCCAAGTCTGGGTGCAGGAGAGAAGCAATTCTTTAGTTCAAAGGCAATCATGCAAAAGGAGATTGTCCCTTTGCAGAAGTCAGTCTTTTTATTTTATTCACATCTGTAACTGACTAGACCCACTGTTTTCCCCCTTAAATTAGATCAGTCAAAGTGCTTTCCTCAGTCTACCCAATCAAATGTTAATCTCATCCAGAATTGCTAATAGACACATTGGAAATCATTTTTAACCAAATGTCTGAGCACCTCCTAGCTCAGTTATATTGACATATACAGTTTGCTATCATGCAGAAATATGATGGAACATTTCTTCTACTCCACCAAGGAAGGTTGAAACAACAGAAAACAAAAAACTATTGTTTCAAGCAGTGAGAAATGAGAGATAACACCTCCCAGTAGTTATGACAGAATTTGGAAGGAAGTACCTTTTATTCTCTCTAATTTACTGCCCCCTATCATCTCCAATAACTTAGACAAACTCTACATGACTTTAATCTGTTTCCCCTATAGTTGAGTGGACAAAATTTTAATGCTATTATGATGGCTAAAAATGTGATATATCAGATATTCATGCTCAGAGAGTTTCCATGCTTAATATATGTTACTATAATATAAAGTAAAACAATGCTATTTAAAATGTAACATCATCAAAACTAACTTAATAATGACCCCTACAGGAATGCAGCACAATTTATTAGAAACATTATCCACATAAAATAAAAATCTGGGTATGGATCCAAAGTCATATTCATGAATCCTTCAGCAACCATTTCTCCCTTTTCCCTTCACTCTTGTTATGACACTCTTGCTCAGTTCACAGACAGTCATTACTCCCCACATGTGACATGGTCCTAGAAAATTCACAGTTACCTAAGGGACTCGTGAGGGAGGGAGAGAAAGAAGACAAGGAGAGGAAAAGAGGGGAGTGGAAGGGAAGGGAGAACACGGAAGAGGAGAGGGGAGGAAAAGGGAGAGGAGAAAGGAGGAGAGGAGAGGGGAGAGGAATGGAGGGAGAGAAGGAGGGTGTATCAGTTATTGAGCAAGACAACTTTCAGAAGAAAGTGATTATTTGGACATACGGTTGCAGAGAGTGAAGAGTCGCTATTGGAAGGGAATAGTGGCAGTGGGAGACAGACATGGCAGCAGGAGAAATAGAGAGATCAGATCTTGGACTGCAAGCAGGAAGCAGAGGGAGCAAAGTAGGACTGGTATGAGTCCTTAAAACTCTGAAATCCCACCTCCAGTAAAATACTTCCT